GAAATCCAATTAAAATGGGGTACAGCGCTAAACAGAATTCTCAATAGAGGAATATCAAATGGCAGAGAAACACGTAAAGAAATGCTCAACCTCATTAGCCATCAGGGAAATGCAAATCAAAACGACCCAGAGATTTCACCTTACACCCATCAGAATGACTAAGATGAATAACTCAAATGACAACACATGCTGGAGAGGATGCGGAGGAAGCGGAACCCTCCTCCACTGCTGGTGGGAATGTAAACTTGTACAACCACTCTGGAAATAAATCTAGTGCTTTCTCAGCCATTAAGTGGTATTAGCTGAATTTTCAATCAGTTGCATTAGCTCATTGTTTCTCATATGATATTTAATTTTCACTTTATCCTATGTGATGTGTTCCATCCTCCTGGATATTCCAAAGCTCAGGTTGTCTTGTGCATCAGAAATGCTGATGAAATTCACACCAGCAGGGTGAGAGAGTATGGATGGTAAAAGAAAAAAACCTCTCAAATGGCAATTCTAACATTTTTAAGTTCATTTTTGGTAACTTAACAAGAGAAGAGACTAAGAAACATGCCATTTTCACAATTTCTAATTTAGTATTCTTGTAGATGCAGCCACTTACTAGATTAGTCCCCTTTTTCTTTCATAGCTATTCTCTACCTAACAAAAGAAGTTAGGTTGAGCAGTTTTAGTAACCTAATCAGTCTTTCTGTTCATGTTGCAAGGCTATTGTTCCTAGTCAGTACACAATGCTTTAGTTGGTTGAAAACTTTCTGCTCTTGTTATGACATCACAGTTTCTATCTTAACATCAGAGCAATGGATTGCTTTCTATGCATAGTTGCCTCAGGTAACTCACATGTTAAAGAACTATATGCAGAGATGTTAGTGTATCTACATCCAATTTTCTGTGATCAAAGATCTCATTCAGCACATCAATTTGTGTGCCTAGAATTACATTAGACCTACAAATACTGAAAGTATTTGACATCATGACTTAAACATAAATAGATTTCCAAAACCTGCTGATGTCAAGGGTATCTTCTCAAGACAGAAACTTTGTCAGTTACCTTTCTAAAGGGGCTAAACACATGTTTGGATGAGGTATGTGCTGTCTTCAGGGCCTGTGAAAACCTACCAGACTTTGCTCTCCATTTTATTTATGCATTTCATTAAGTGTAAAATATAATTTTTTAAATATATGGGTTATTTCTATCACTTTGTGGTCAATGCTCTAAGCATTCAACCTGTGGTTTTTATTCCACTTACACACAAAAAAGATTAACCACACTTCATTTTAACCAAATTATGGTTTTATGGTAAAGTAGGTCCCAGGAAGTCTTTCATTAACAAATCCTTAGACCTAATCCTCCAGTCTTGTCCTAGTGTTGCAAAAGAACACCAGCTGATGCCTTCCCTACCCACTGCCCACACCTTTGTTGATTCCCACAGATCATCCCTCCTAAACTTTTTGTTGCTTTGTTCCAGGCCCCAACTCTAGCAACACCACTTGCTAAATCACTGGCCATGCCTGTCAGAAAACTAGGTAAGTTTTCCACAGACACCCAAACCACACAAAGGCCAAAAGAAGAAAGTAGTATAGACCAATTTCCCTGAGACATAGATGAAAAAAAATACTTAATAAAATACTTGTAAACCAAATCCAAAAACACATGAAAAAAGAGCATCCGCCAAGTAGACTAGGCTTCCTCTAAGAGATGAAGAACTAGTTCAGCAAATGAAAATAAATGAATGTAATCCACCATATATATATACATACATACATATGTATACATACATATACATATATACATATATGTATATATTTATATATAAACGTGATCATCTCATTAGATGCAGAGAAGGTCTCTGACAAGATCCAACACCCCTTTATGATAAAGTCCTGGAGAGATTAGAGATATTAGGGACTCCTGAGTGTGTGAATGGGTACAACTTTGATCCTTGCACCTTTGCTTGGACACTTTTTCTTCTGTTGGTTTGCCTTGTGCAACTTGTCGAGGTAATGGTTTTTATTTTATCTTTTTATATTTTATTTTGTTATAATTTGTTATCTCTTAGAAGCCTTCTCTTTTCTAATGAGAGATGGACAGAAAGTGGATATAGATGGAAGGGTAGGTAAGGAGGAACTGGTAAAAGTAGAGAAAGAGAAAGCCATAATTAGGATATAATGTATGAGAAAAGAGTCTATTTTTAATAAAGGAAAAAAATAAAATTAAGGGGAGTGTATCTGGGGCTACTGGTGACTACATCCCTCTGACTTTAGACAAACATCCCAGACATAGAGGAAAGGACTAATGGCAATGTTAGAGGTTGGAGATCTGACCACGTGGCAAATTTTGCTTGGTATTGTATGGAGCTGTCTGCCTTCTGATAGCCTAGTGCCCACTTCACTTTGTTTATTAAATGAATGGCAAAGGAAACAGCATGAAAATTCCTCTCATTGATCAAAGATTTACATCAACGTTTGGGATGTCTTCTCAAAACCCCTACTGAAAAATCAGAGCCCTTCAGCTTTGCCTTGGCCTTAAAGTGCTCAAATGCACATGAACATCACTCTGGTATTGCTAGTAGCAATGGTTTTTACCTTCCAGAGACTGATGGGAAGCAAAAACCAAGTGCCATTGGTTAGGCGAACTTTGGATGCTATACTGGGTCTCATGGTTTTCTATGGCTGTAGAACTAAGGCATCAAAGAGTATTTCCTATTTATCTCTCCTCCTATCCTTTCTCCCCTTCCTTCCTTCCTTCCTTCCTTCCTTCCTTCCTTCCTTCCTTCCTTCCTTCCTTCCTTCTTCCTCCCCTCTTTCTCTCCCTCTCCTTCCTGTCATGTCTCCCTCCTGCTCATCCTCCCCCATCTCCCTCTGTCCCTTCCTCACTCTCTACTTCTTTAATATTTGGGAAAAGATCTAGTTCCACAGTAAGACTGACCAGGAGCTTGCTTTGTGGCCAGGTTCACTTTGAATTCATGATTCTTCCCAATGACCTCCCTCTTGCTGGAACTTCAACTATGCCCCATCATATATGGTTTAAGTTTATTTTTAGGTTTCTTTTTTATTTTTTCTTCCAAATATTTCTCCTTTAAAGTCTTGTATTTGACCCTCTCTACGTCAACAGGTAATTGAGAGATTTTCACCTGGCCTCCAGTTTTCCCCTCTCAGGCCTGTCTTTTGTGTCTAAGAGGGAAAACCTTTTCAGTTTAATGGATCACATGATTGGTTAGGCTAACCAACCTAGTCACCTTGTCTGAAGGTCCCTTGTCTAAAAACTTCATTCCATCTATAGAATTTCCCCAGAGTGCTAAGATTATTGTTTGACTGACCAAGTCAGATAACATGTGTCTTCCCAGTGACTGGCAATCTTGAGGGTCACCTCATATTCTACTTACTACAAGGTCTGCACGTTTTTTTGTGAGCAGTTGTGAGTCTGTTGTGAACTCCTCTGTATTTATACTGTTTGCAGGTCACCAAGATAGTGGAGTGTGGGCTTGTGTCTTCTGTTGGTCTAGTCCTAACTCATCCTTAATCTCTTCTAGCCCAGCTCCTCTTCACTTTTTCTCTCTTGTGCTTGTGAGAGACAACCAGCCTTACATAAGATCAATGAGCAAAAGTGTCTCTTAGGTTTTGTTATCTTCTACATTTATTTTTTTTTTCTCTCAGGTTCTGTTGAGATTAATTTTATTGCCAAGCCATTCATGCCTGCATGTTTATGTTTTACTAAAGCAATGGAACAAAATAATTTTATAGTTTCTTCAATTCTTTCCTATTAAGAAAAATGTGATTCAGATTCCAGACAGTTAATTGTTTTTCTTTCTTATTGATTATAAACTCTGCTTTTGGAAACTATGAGGAGAAACAGAGCTTATCTGACTAGATGGGAGGGAGGATAAGGTTCTCTGAGTTCCATGTGAGTCCTGTGCTGTTCAGAGGAGAGAGGACAGAAATATACGCAAGGGTCACAGTATTTTAAATACTGTGTTGGTGTTTCCAGAGTGCACAGGCAGGGTTTTCCCACTCTAGTGGTTTTCGGCCTCCTTAACGTTCTTCCATCCACGATCCACATGGCTGTAGTTCCTCACATTGGAGATTGACTTTTTGCTTGATATTCTAATATTCAGATAGTTATCAAAGCAGGGTTGGGTTAAGATTACAACATGAGACAGATAAGCATGCCAGGAACACCTTCTGCACACCAGTTAGTGAGGAGGGTGGGAGAGCCCTTATCTGCAGAAAGTACTTTATGGCAGAGCTGGTAGAATATAGAAAAGAGAGAGAGAGAATTTTCACCAACAACCAGATAAATGCCAAGTTACACTCAATTTTAAAAATATTCTGTCTAATCTGAATATATGCTATAACAAGATGCAACAAGTATGTGTTTAATCAATATGTAGGTTTTCCATAATTACATAACTAACTATATAAATATATGAATTTTAAGTTTAATATATGGTATGTGGCAAGCAAATTTAAGCATTAGATGAATTGCCTCACAATTTGGAAAAGAATAGTAATTTCATTTCTAATTGCCTTTAAATCTCACTGACAGAGTAGATTGTAATTTTCTAAATGATCTGTGCTATGGGCCTTAAAGTTGATTAAATATTCCCTAATATTCTGTCTTGCTTTTAAAGTGTTGTAACTACTGTTTTCAAAATGGCAATAGAATAAAGGGATTTCTTGTTTCTTTTTTGGTGTGCTCTAATTAGGGCCATAAATGCTCATGCTCTTCTGATGTAAACTGGTGAAAGAGGAACACTGTTCCTCACTCTTCTCCTAAGGTTTTTGTCATTGCTGTGCTTTTTAATAAACATTTTGTAGTAAATTATGTTTCATAAAGTTGCCCAACCAGTTTCAACCGTGGCTTGAACTTGGAACTGAATGTCAAGACATTGTTGCTAAAACCATTGCTTTACTTCCTACCTTTGTCCTATTGCTCCACAGTTTATATATGGGATGCTGTTTACTGTCACCACATACGCTTGTGGAAAAGATTTATCATGTGGTACAAAACTCTTTGCTTTGGATTTTTTGGTATTCTATTTGCTTATTGTATTTATTTACCTCTTCCAGAAAATGTTGAAGAACCTTGGAAAGTGAGACTCATCGATGTTGTTATAAAAATGGCTTCACTTGTGGTAATGTATCTTCTAATGGGGAATTGGGATGCCATGTCATAAATATATTTGGAACTTATTTTATTTCAAATGATTAAAATGGATTTAATACTTTATGATATGTAAACCAGATAATCTTGATATTTATTTGGTCACTAACATGCTTGACTGATCTCCAGCAGAGGTATATGCAGTCTTTGCCAAAACACTAAACGTTTTGAAAAATCAATATTAGGATCAAAGAAATAGTATTGTCTAAAAAGAATATTTGGGAATTGTTAAGAAGCCTGGATATTTTTGATGCTTTTGGTATCTAGACTCATAGATTCTCTGGAATCTTTTTAAAAAATATTTTATTATTATTATTATTAATTACACTTTATTCATTTTGTATCCCCCCATAAGCTCCTCCCTCCTCCCCTCCCGATCCCACCCTTCCTCCCCTTTGTGCATGCATGCTCCTCCCCAAGTCCACTGATAGGGGAGGCCCTCCTCTCCTTCTTTCTGATCTTAGACTATCAGTTCTCATCAGAAGTGGCTGCATTGTCATCTTCTGTGGCCACAGAAGATTCTTGGAATCTTACAGATGATGTTCATCTAGTTAAAAAATTTGGTGAATACTAATTACTTATTGTTCTAGTTATTTTCTCTTTTAAGTAATTCTCAAACTTTTTATTCACAGTAGTTTTGTATATTCTTTGTGTTACTGAGACCTCAAAGTAAACTTTGATTTGGGTACATTTGTCAATATTAACCATGTGGTCAGCTTTCCCAGTAATGATGATGTTCTCATTATGTTAACACAATGAAGACTGTTAAAATTAGATGAAATACGTTTTAATAACATGCCAAAGTGACAGTGGCATTTATTCTATCTTCTCAGATTTCTTTTCTACATTTATCTGTGGAAGATAGTTGACTCTCCTGTCTGGATTTTTCAATAGTCTGTTTTCATACCCCATCTGTAAAATCAGTTGGAAAAACTGCACTGTGTACTTATGAGCAGATTAGAAGTGCATATTTTGACACACTCCCTGACATGTCTCAAAGACCCACAGTGGATCAACAGCCACTTCCTGTGATCTAGTGTTTTTATTATCTTTCTTGGTTTTAAGTTGCTGGACTTCAGAGGTTTTTTTTTTTTTTTTCTCCTTCGAAAGTATCTTTTTTATTTTCTTATGAAAACTTTTTAATGCCCTCCAGTAAAACTGAAGCAGGGAGAAAGATAAAACCATCTGCAAGATCAAGTATTCACAATCTTTGAAAAATCATGTAATTTTATTTTATAGAAGTAATGCATAATATTAATAAGGTATACACAGCAGGCATTTTATGTCAAAATTTGATCAAAGTAGTATATCAGTCCATTTATATACATTACAGATTATCGAATGTTCACAAATTTAAGATGTATATATTCACACTACTTCTACTTTAAAAGCACATAAATTGATGAATTTATTAGATATATATCTTTGAAATAAAGTTAGAGTCATACACTCAGGACAGTTCCTGGGAGAGGCTTCCAACTCAATCTGAAGAAATGTGTTTTCCAGAGACAAATGATCAGGGAATTTGTTGTGAGACTTTGCCTCCTAAATGTGCCAAAGTAGATTGGGAAAAGCCCATGCAGCTAACCTTACACAGAGAACTACAAGCAACTAAGGAATGCTGAGTGCAAAAGAAACGGTCTTTCCCAGAGAGGAGTACACCAATTTGTTTTCCAATATCTAATGGTCAGCTCTGAAAACCAAACATATTAATAACATTATACAGACTGAGCAGGTTATACTTAGGAATATATGTACATATATATCCACATACGTATGTAATAAAAGTTAGTGAAAATGGTGACATGTACATGAAAGAGAATAAGCAGCTGTATATGAGAAGGCTTGGGGGATAGAAGGATTAAGGAGCATTGTTTTTGTTTTTGTTTTTTTAAATTTTTTATTAATTACACTTTATTCATTTTTTATCCCCCCATAAGCCCCTCCCTCCTCCCCTGCCGATCCCACCCTCCCTCCCCTTTCTACATGCATGCCACTCCCCAAGTCTACTGATAGGGGAGGTTCTCCTCTTCTTTCTGTTCTTACTCTATCAGTTCTCATCAAAATTGGCTGCATTGTCCTCTACTGTGGCCTGGTAAGGCTGCTCCCCCCTCAGGGGGAAGTGATCAACGAGCAGGCCAATCAGATTATGTCAGAGGCAGTCCCTCTTCCCATTACTATGTAACCCACTTGGACACTGAACTGCCATGGGCTACATCTGTGCAGGGGTTCTAGGTCATCTCCAAGAATAGTCCTTGGTTGGAGTATGAGTCTCTGGGAAGTTCCCTGTGTTCACATTATCTTGTTCTGTTGCTCTCCTTGTGGAGTTCCCTTCCCCTCCAGCTCTTACTATTTCCCACTTCTTACATAGAATTCCATTCACTCTGCCCATCAGTTGGCCATCAGGCTCAGCATCTGCTTTGACAGTCTATACTGCAGAGGCTTTCAGAGGCCCTCTGTGGCAGGTTTCAAGGTTGTTTCCTGTTTTCTTCTGGCTTTCAGAGGCCCTCTGTAGCAGGTTCCGAGGTTGTTTCCTATTTTCTTTTTCTTCTGATGTCCATCCTCTTTGCCTTTCAGGATGGGGACTGAACATTTTAGTTAGGGTCCTCTCTTTTGCTTAGTTTGTTTAGATGTACAGATTTTAGTGGGTTTATTCTATATTGTATGTTTATATGAGTGAGTATATACCATGCATGTCTTTTTGCTTCTGGGACAACTCACTCAGGATGATCCTTTCCAGGTCCCACCATTTACCTGCAAATTTCATGATTTCCTTATTTTTCATTGCTGAGTAATACTCCATTGTATAGATGTACCACAGTTTCTGCATCCAGTCTTCAGTTGAGGGGCATCTGGGTTGTTTCCAGCTTCTGGCTATTACAAATAAAGCTGCTACAAACATGGTTGAGCAAAAGTCCTTTTTGTGTACTTGTGCCTCTTTTGGGTATATGCCTAGGAGTGGTATGGCTGGATCTTTAGGTAGCGCTATTCCCAGTTGTCTGAGAAAGTGCCAGATTGATTTCCAGAGTGGTTGTACCAGTTTACATTCCCACCAGCAGTGGAGAAGGGTTCCCCTTTCTCCACAACCTCTCCAGCATGTGTTGTCCCTTGAGTTTTTCATCTTGGCCATTCTGATGGGTGTAAGGTGAAATCTCAGGGTTGTTTTGATTTGCATTTCCCTAATGGCTAATGAGGTTGAGCATTTCTTTAAGTGCTTCTCTGCCATTCGATATTCCTCTACAGAGAATTCTCTCTTTAGCTCTGTTCCCCATTTTTTAAGTGGATTACTTGGTTTGCTGCTTTTCAGCTTCTTTAGTTCTTTATATATACTGGATATGAGTCTTCTGTCAGATAAAAGGTTGGTGAAGATTCTTTCCCAATCTGTAGGCAGTCACTTTGTTTTGATGACAGTGTCCTTTGCTTTACAGAAGCTTTTCAATTTCATGAGATCCCATTTATTGATTGTTGCTCTTAGAGCCTGTGCTGTTGGTGTTCTGTTCAGGAAGTTTTCTCCTGTACTAATGAGTTCTAGGGTATTCCCCACTTTTTTTTCTAGCCGATTTAATGTGTCTGGTTTTATGTTGAGGTCTTTGATCCACTTGGACTTCAGTTTTGTGTAGGGTGATAAGTATGGATCTATTTTCATTTTTCTACATGTAGACATCCAGTTGGACCAGCACCATTTGTTGAAGATGCTATCTTTTTTCCATTGTATGGTTTTGGCATCTTTGTCAAAAATCAGGTGTCTGTAAGTGTGTGGGTTTATTTCTGGGTCTTCTGTTCGATTCCATTGATCCACCATTCTGTTTCTATGCCAGTACCATGCAGTTTTTATAACTGTTGCTCTATAGTACAGCTTGAGATCAGGGATGGAGATACCTCCAGAAGATCTTTTATTGTAGAGGATTGTTTTAGCAATTCTCGGTTTCTTGTTATTCCATACGAAGTTGAGAATTTTTCTTTCCAGGTCTGTAAAGCATTGTGTTGGCAATTTGATGGGAATTGCATTAAATCTGTAGATTGCTTTTGGTAAAATGGCCATTTTTACTATGTTAATCCTGCCAAGCCATGAGCATGGGAGATCTTTCCATCTTCTCATATCTTCCTTTAATTCTTTCTTCAGAGACTTGAAATTTTTTTCATACAAGTCTTTGACTTGCTTGGTTAGGGTTACACCAAGGTACTTTATGTCATTTGTGGCTATTGTGAAGGGTGTTGTTTCTCTAATTTCTTTCTCAGCCCTTTTGTCTTTTGTATACAGGAGTGCTACTGATTTTTTTGAGTTAATTTTGTATCCGGCCACTTTGCTGTCTGTGTTTATCAGCTGTACGAGTTCCCTGGTAGAGTTTTTGGGGTCACTCATATATACTATCATATCATCTGCCAATAGTGATAATTTGACTTCTTCCTTTCCCATCTGTATCCCCTTGATCTCCTTCGACTGTCTTATTGCTCTAGCAAGGACTTCCAGCACTATGTTGAAGAGATATGGAGAGAGTGAGAGCCTTGTCTTGTCCCTGATTTCAGTGGGATTGCTTTAAGTTTCTCTCTGTTCAGTTTGATGTTGGCTATAGGCTTGCTGTATATCGCCTTTACTATGTTTAGATATGTGCCTTGTATCCCTGATCTCTCCAGTACTTTAAACATGAATGGATGTTGGATTTTGTCAAATGCTTTTTCAGCATCTAGGGAGATTATCATGTGTTTTTTTCTTTCAGTTTGTTAATATGGTGGATCACATTGATGGATTTCCGTATATTGAACCACCCCTGCATACCTGGGATAAAGCCTACTTGGTCATAGTGGATAATATCTTTGATGTGTTCTTGGATCCGGTTTGCAAATACTCTGAACACAAGTCTACCACAGAGAATACACCAGGCTACTTTTACCCAAAATATGCCTTTTTTTCTTAATGTCATATAAACACAGAGATAATAGGAATATTATTAGAATATAGGAGAGTGTGAC